GCCAGGGGGGCATCATTGAAGATGCGGTAGATCTCATTGATCGAGGCAGGGGCGTAGCGGCTTTTCTCTCCAGAAGTTAACGATGCCCAATCTGATCAATCTGCCGATGGCCTTGTCTCGGCCGATCTCTTCAACGCAGCAAGCTTCATCAAGCTCACAGCTGCAATCTCTGTCCGCGTGTTTTTCGCAAGGCATGCAAGTATGCTATCCCAGGTCTGCTCTGAGCGTTTCACCTGTAAACCTATGACATCCTACGCTTACCAGTGGCAGATAGTCGCACGCAATTGCTTCACTCTGTGTTAGCTGCACTGCTTCCGCTCCGTGGCAACCCGCAACAAACCGACAGTCGCTCAGAAACAACAAGGCCAACCAACATAGCTCTGCAAGGGGTAGGTTGCGCGCACAGCCGAGCGGACGGCAGCATGCGCTCGTGCGCGGCTCGTGCTCACGCAAGCAGACGCAAGAAGGCTTGCAGCTTCGGATACCCAGCGACCGCTGGTTTCGATGGCGAAAACAACGACGTTGCAGCGCGGCGAGCGCGACGGCTCGAGATAGGTGTCTCATCGCTTGCGCCGCGTCGCGTGCCGAAGTGCAAGGCCAGATCGAGAGTCAGCCCGTGGCCGCGGCTCACCGGAACGAGTGACAGGGCTGACGCCAGTGGTGTCGACAGCAAGCTGAACCCCGTGCCAAAGCGTTGCAAACGATCTCGATCCGGCGCTCATCGCGCACCGGGACATGCAATGCGCACATTGCGCCCGACCCGCGCACCTTCCTGGCAGACCCGGGCGACCGCTCGCTCGAGTGCGAGGGTGCGGGACGCGAGGCGTACGGGGACAAGCAGCATAATGCTCGCCGTAGACGTCGACCGTGGCGCCGCAGCCATGTCCATGCACCCCGCTTAATCCGCCGAATCCCAAAGCAAGTTGCGAGGCCCGCACTGTGGCAGCTGGCAGTTCGTCACCGCTGTGCACAACGGAGCCCAAGCAGGTCGCAACAGTGGCGTCGTGGTCCGCAGCGAACTGGGCCGTCGGTGCGGGCGGCACATTTGCGTAAGAGGTAATCGGCCCGGGGAGCAGCGCAAAAGTGCAGCAGCAGCCACGCAGCTTGCAGATCGGGCACATCTGGGATGCGGGCCAGGAGACGGTCGTGGTCTGCCCGCTTCGCAGCGAGGATGTCATGAACGTAGTCGGCGGCGAGCCCAGGAAGAGCAAACCTTGGCGATTGCGTGGCAAGGACCAATCCCCGGTCCAAATGGGTTCATCGCCGCCGCTCACAACGGTCCACGAAGGCGGCGCGCGGGTTGCACGCAACGTCCGGCTTGCTGACATGAACATCGATGTTCCCGTCAGTGACGCGCGTCGCATTGAGGTCGTCGCAAGCGGCCTGCCTCTTTGGCACGGGGCGCAGCTCGCGCTTGATGCCACGATCGTCAGTCCCGTCACGCGGAGCGGGGAGCCGCAGCCGGGCGCCGCCGCGCGCCCATGGCGCGGCCGTCCAGGCCGACGCGCGCCGCAAGCCCCGAGCTCGCTAGCGCGCGACGGGCCCGTCTCGTCGTTTGCGGGGTCGAGGTCGGTGGGCGCTTCGGTGCTGAAGCTGCCTCCTTCCTCCGTCACCTTGCCCGGCACCGTGCGGCCAGCCTTCCACCCCTCATCCGAGCTGCTGCTTGTGCAGGCTGGGTCCAACGTTGGTCCGGCCTCCTTGCGGTCGCTGCCATGCGTGCCTTTGCGGCGTCCCTCCTCGAGCTGCCTGGTGGTGACGTTTGCGATGCGGGTGCGGTGCCTGACCTCCACGAAATCCTCGCCGAGGTCCGCGGCGGCCCCCCGCTCGGCGCAAGCCGCCTGCCGCCGCCCTGAACCCTCCCGTAGCTCGCAGCTGAAACGTGCACTGGGACCGCGGTCACTGTCCGAAAAGAAGCGCGTTAAAAAAAAAAAAAAAAGAAAAGTGTACGTTGGAGATCGTTGGAGTGCCATCATCGCCGTCGCGGCGCAGAGTGCCCTCGCCAGCTCACTGCTCGCATGCGTCTCAACTCTGTCACCTGTGCTGCCGGCGAGCCGGCTGTGCATGAGGTCCTGCAAGACGAGCGATGGCTTGACACGTCGGCTGCCAGCCGACTCCCGGCGTGGACCAAGTGCACCGGGACCGCGCTTGTCGTTGCCGCAACATGTGCGCGCAAAAAAGGATGAAAAAAAAAACTATGACTATAACAGCCAGCACGGTCCAGGCCCACGCGTTCTTTCGTGCAAACTTCGGGCGTGGACTCGCTCAACCTCGTTTGCTTGAATGCCATACCTAGCAAGCCTCGCTAGTGTTGCTTGCTGCAACCGCCGGGAGCTGGAATCTGCGCGCGCGTGGCGAGGACGTCCGAGGTAGCGCAGGCTGAGCGGTGGTCGCCGAGCGCATCAAGCTCTCCGCGGCAGCGGCATCGGCGCGGAGCGAGGGGGAGGGGAAGCCGCAGGCGGCGCACTATCTTGCTCAACCGCACTGCTTCCTTTGTGCGGATGCGGAGCGTTTTCCTGCAGTATCCCTAGCACTAGACGCAAAACCTGCAGAAGAAAGAACGTATGTCGCGCAGCCTTGCACGGATGTTCGCTCAAACTTTTGACGAGGCGACCCGTCCGTACCAGTTCGCGCTGCAGACCCGTGCGAGCACAGATGCACTGTCGGGCATGCTCCGGGCCGCTGTCGACCTCGACTCTGCGGCAACCGTCGTGTCACTCGACGGCCGCAGTGCCTACGATACGATCTCGCGTGCCGCGTTCCTGCGCAAGCTGCAGGCCGTCGTTCCTGCACTCGTCCCCTTTGTGCGTATGTGGTACGGACAGCAGTCCACTTACTTTTGGTCGGACGATACAGGCCAGCGTCGTACCGTCCGTCAGGGCGAAGGCTGCGAGCAAGGGGATGCTCTGGCCCCCGCGCTCTATGCACTCGGCATCACTCGGCCAACACGACGCCCTCGCCGCCGCCGATGCGCAGCTGCGACCCGGCGAGTGCCTGGCGGCCTTCCTCGACGATGTGTACCTCGTCACAACACCCGCGCGGGCACACTTGACGTCGTTATACCACTTCCATCGAGACGCGGGCGGGCGTTGCCGCTAATCTCGGTAAAACTCGGGTCTACAACCGCGTTGGCGGGCCAGCGCCCCCTGGTATCGCCGAGCTCGGAGCGGGCGTGTGGCGCGGGGATGCGTGTGAGACTGAGCGCGGGTTCGTCGCGTTAGGCACTCCCATAGGCCACCCGAGCTTCGTCGCCGCCCACACCGATGCGCGCCTGCTCGAAGAGGGGCGGCTGCTGCATGAGCTCCTTATGTTGCCCGACCTCCAGTGTGCATGGCTCCTTCTTGCCATGTGTGCCTCGCCTCGCGCCGACCACCTGTTGCGGACCCTCCCGCCCAACCTCTCTGCCAGCTATGCGCGTGGCCACGACGATGCTGTGTGGCGATGCTTGCTCGCGCTGCTGGGCGAAGAGGACGATGCGGACTCCGGACCCCGAGGTCGCCGCTGCACGCCGCCTTGCCATGCTGCCCTCGCGCTTGGGCGGCTTGGGTTTGCAGTGCGCTATGCGCACCGCGCCTGCAGCATACTGGGCTGCCTGGGCTGACGCCCTGCCTGTCCTGCGCGCTCGCCGACCCGACGCCGCAGCCCGCTGCATTGCCGAGCTTGCCCATGGCCGTGCTTCGGCTGCCGCGTGCCTGCGCGCTGCTGAGGAGGCCGGCCGCGTGCTCGACCGCACCAACTGGACCGGCCGCCCGTCTTGGAACGACCTGCTCAACAACGTGCGCCCCGCACAATGCGATCTGCCCGAGCCTGGCGAGCGGTGCCAGGGCTGGCAGCATCAGCGTGCACGGGGACCGGACTCTTTTGCGCAGTCGTCAAAGGTGCGTTAAAAAAAAAATTAGTGCTTCGATTGAAGTCGTCGCGGCTCCAGCTTTCGCAGCTGCGATGGATTCCGTCCGGATTTGGATCAATGTCAGGCCAGGAACACTGCTTAGAAAGATGCATGCCGACATATCGTCGTTTTGTCAGGTGGACAAGGGCCTGTGGCCTTGCGCTTAGACCCCTTCACTTGTTTGTGTGCGGCTGTGTTGCATAGTTGCATAGGTCTTGCGCATCAAGGGAAGATTCATGACATTGATTCGTTTCACATCGATTCCGTCAGGCGGTGTGCTACCCGGGAAGCATCGGTGGAGGTGATTCAGCAGCCTTGCGCTCATAATTTGACAGACCCTGCATCGTAGGTTCGTCCTAGCCAGGCAGGAGGCAAAACAATTTCTTTAAAAGCTAGAACTACTAACGCCGCGCAGCAGACACATCGCCCTGGCAAGCTCTGCTGTGACTTCTGTGCGAGCTGTACTGGGTGCATTCAGGCAGGTCCTTTGACATGGCGCGGCGCTTCACGGTTGAGTGCGCAGCTGCGGGCGGCTTGGCGCGTTTGGGTCGGAACCTTGTGCTCGATTTGTTTTGGAGTGTGGACCAAGATCTCTTTCCGTAGCCTGAAGCGCGAAAAAATCCCATCGGCCCAACACTGCATCTCAGGGTGCTTGACAGACTGAAACACCGTGGAAAGGGCGTCCAGATCACAACGTGTTCGTGCATGAACGCTTGCAATGTGGCCAGGCTATTTCGTTGGAGCTCGGGGCTTACCCAGCTTCAATGGTTCGCAATGCGCAGGCAATGTCCATCCGTACCAGGTATTCACACTCGGAGCTTGCGGCAGTGCTTCGCCTCGTTTATCACTTCGCCAGGGGGATTTTCGATGAGCTGCATCGGCAACTACCGTGATTTCTCCTTAAGTCTTCCCTGTCGCCGCGCCTTCGCCACTTCGTTTCCGGGCTCATCCCGAACTCACAGAGCGAGCCGAACAACCTGATGCATCAGGTGTGGGTGAGATGGCATGTTGTGCGCATGATTGCCGTGGAGGGCAAAGGAACATAAAAAAATGGTTGGGCGAAAGAACATGCGCAACGCAGCACTTCAAGCAGGAGCCGTGTGACAAGCAATAGATGGCGCCGACAGCGCAGCCCCATGACGCTGGCAGGCTTCATTTCCAGTCAGGCCAGCAATCTGTGCAAGCGTTTGACACATTACACGCAGAAGCACGACACGAAGAAGCAACCTCGACATGCTGTTGTTTTATTCTCAGCAGTGGTTCCTGCATGTTCCTGCTGCGTCATTGTTGGTTACACGAAGTCAGAGTTTTCAAGTGGACATTCCGTGCGAGTACATTCGTCCGGGACCCTCTTTTGTCTGCAAGTCACAGGCTGGGAGGGTGAGTTGCAGAAGTTGCAGGCAGAAGTGTCCTGAGCTCAGCCACGGATGTTATGACCATGTTCATGTTATGCTGGTGCATGCGGTTTTGACAAGGTCTCATTTCCAACATGCTGGATCCGGGCAGTTGGGGTCCGGGCTACACTCGCGTTGTTAGGGGGAACGAGTGTGTGCGCATTAGTTGTGTTTCCAAGCCTGAGGTCGCCTCAAAAGCCACAGCGGCGGAACCTGCGCCCCCTGTGGAAAGGTGCAGTTTCAGGTTGCAGAATTCGCATAGGTTTGCTGGAGCCTGTGTCGAAGGCACCCCCATCAACAACGCAGATGCTGGTACAGGCCAATCGGATGGAGATGTTGGTTGCGAACGGCATTGTGTCAAAAGGCGATGGTGGGAGTGTCGCGATCTAGGTTCAAAACATGTATGCCAACTACAGCTGGAGAGTTGAATGAATTCCCGGAAGTCAACGTGTTCCCACGAAAGGAACACAACAAAGTACCCCCCCGCACGCACCCGCAGCAACCACATCCACTCGCAGCGACGGTGCGTTTTTGTTGTTTGCTGTGGGTGCAGGTGTTTGTTTTCTTGCTGTCGGTGCCTGGTGTTTTTTTGTTGTCGGTGCGGTGTGTGTCTGTGTATCTTAGTTTTGTTCTCCAGCAACAGCAGACATCTCCGATCAAACGGCTGCTACGTTGCCCGGCGCTTCGTGTCCCAGGCAAGTTGCAGGGGAGTCTCGCCTGGCCCGCACGGCTGCAAAACGCCAGGGCCCCTGCGCGAGAACTTCAGATGCAATAATGAAGAACAAAATTCAATGAGAGCTACATCCCAGCCGAGCCTTGCTCAAGACCGCGGATAGACATGACTAGCCAGCTGGCGCGGCGAGACTTGCAGGTTGGAGGGGTTAAAGCTTGAATGGGCCATCAAGGCGAAACGATTTGCTGCACAGCACTGGCGGTGGTCCGGGGCCCAGCCGCACAGATTTCGTCCAAGCTGTACTCTGCAGGATGTGCTCGTCGAGCCAACTGGTGAAGCTGAAGGGTGGCGAACTTCCTGCGGATCTCATTTTTGTGTTTGCTGTCATTTGTTCTTTCGTGTGGGTTACCATTGCTGCGGCCGTCGTGGTCGTTGTTTTCATTGTTATTGTGCCCTCACGACGTTGCTGCTCCCAGTGGTACTTTGGTGTGTTTCTGCCTGTTGCATTGGACAGCACGAGGCTAAGGTGATCAGAACAATGCGGCAGATGCTGACAATCATGCGAGGATTCCCAATGCTTGTGGCCCCGAAAGATCGAGTAATCTTAGCAAGGCCGCCAGGGACGACATGTCATGGATGTACACTAGCTGCAGGTCGTGCTGTTGCTATTACGGATGCTACGACACACTCGCTGCCGCAATGTCCGTTAGTATTTACATATTCACAATGCCGATAAGCCTGCATGCCGAGCTCATCTGCCAACCAAGTATGCAAAAGACGATACCCGTAGCAAACACATGCGGCAGAAGCACGAGTTGGGCCGGACGAGGAGGGTCGCAGGCGTGTGATGCTTCGAGCTTGGGTAGTGCTAGTACCGGGCCTGCCGGCTTGAGGGGCCTGTGGCCTGTGCTGCTAAGCTCTATAAGCTGCTGAACCTTCTCGGAATTGCTTCAGCCGTGGCGTTGTGCCCCGCCGGCTCATTTCGTGAGGCAGCGATTCCGCCCCGGCGTGAATGAGGCCTGAAGGGTGCGAGAGGTGCAGAAGGGTCCGCAAGCATTTGTTGAGAGGATTCGCTTTGCCGAAGCACTCGGAGGATCCAAAGGCCTTTTGGGTGGCCACTGAAGCTACGTGTACGGGTTGAGCAGCTCAAGAGATTAGATCCGCGAACGGCCAGGGCTTGGAGAGAGCTTCTGCAGCGCAGGCAGGTTGCGACTCTCCATGAAATCTGCAATGATGGGGGAGGGACTGACGGACTTGAGGCACCTGGAGCTGGCCAGGCCAGTCACGAAGGAATACTGTCCTTGCCGTGCCACATGGGACCGCGCTTGGTCTGCAGGCAGCAGCTGCTGCAGCTGGCACCTCCGTCGAAGGTAAGTTCCGCCAGAGTTCCGTGCAAGAATTCAGTCGCTAAGCGCGACAAATCTGGTGGAGCAGGTCAAGATCTCGCCGATTTTACTGCAAGATGTGCGTGGGCTCAGTACTCAGTGGAGAGCTCACGCCAGGCCGACTTGCTGGCTGTACGCTTGTAGCCAGGTTGCCACTCGGCGAGAAGAAGTGCGCCGCACCACCAGACGAGGTCAGGTCGCTGCAGGCCTCTAGGACTAGGACTCGTTGTGCAGCTTTGCCCGAAGGACCTCTGGGATGAAGCCATCTTCTCCCACTACCCATCGGTGCAGCGAGCGATGATTCTTTTCAGTGTTCAGGTTTTCAGGTTAGCCAAGGACTTCATCAGGTCAAACTTGCTAAGCTGCTGATTATGCAGAGACAGGTTGATGACATGCTCTCCGAGCGAGTCAAAGAGGACGTCCGCCCCAGTCAAGATTAGTGAACGCTTCAACACCACGTTTTGGCCGGCAAGCGAGGCTGTTGCATGCCAATTGCTCAGATGCCTCTACGCTTCCAGAGCCTCCCTGGGGTTCTTCTTTCCCGGCTGGGTGCTGACAATCTGAAGCTTCTGAAGGCAGGGAGCCGGTGGTGCTCAGCCTCGTCCAGTGCCTACGCAAGTTGGAGCGTCGCGGCCCCTGGAACTGTGGCCACACCACGGTCTGCACGTCGGAATGTCCTCAGGACATTTCCAACTCAGGACCCGAGGCGGGGACAGGGAGTTTCAGCTGTCTTGCTTTACGGACGCGCGTGTTGCGAATACTTTGCAAGTGTATATAATTCTTGGGCTTCAACAACTGCCGTCCATAATCTGGATCACACGGGACAGTTTCGCCCGATGTTTAAATCCCGTGGTGTTGTTCTGAATGGAGTTTGACGATTCGCTCGTCCTGCAGCCCCTGGGGCGTATGAAGACAATGGCAGCAGCCTGACAACCGTGGCTATCATTCGGCGTTTTCACTGCCGTTCTCTTTGCCAAGGGGAATTTTAGCAGTAGCTTCTGCATATGGAACATGACTTCCTCCTCCTCCTCCTCCTCCTCCTCCTACTGCTGTTACTGCTACTGCTACGACAACTGCCACCCAAACCGTCGTAACGCAAGAAGGAACCCTGAAAAGCAACTCGCCAAGCTGTGCGATCTAGCCCAGCGAAACAACACTTAGACAGCCGCTTGAACAGTCCATTTCTTTTGCTGTCGCACTGAGATCAATGTGTGGTCGGTTTGCCTATCAGCAACTTGGAAGACTGCAACAGTACTTCTGTCATTACTGTCTCGGTCCGACAGGTTCCGCTCCCTGGCGTCCTCCATGTGCAGTGGGGGAATCTGCCCGCCAAAACCTAGAGGAAGCTGCAGTGATGGCTTTCTGCAGACTGTGCGTAACTCCACATCTCCACATCTATGGCACATTGTGCATCAGCCGTCAGGAGGTGATCAGAGCGGCTCTTGACCAATGCAGAGGTGCGGAGCGCGGGACCAAGATTAAAGACGGAATTATGGACAAATTCTGCGTCAGGAGATATCCGCACGGAGCACATGTATTGCCGGCCAGTTGTGGGGGTGGTGTGCTGGACCCGAAAAGCCATTCCACCTGCAGCCGTTTGGGCTGGCGGGGTCTGAGGGCAGTATGTTGGCAGGTTGATGCCAGCTCTGTGCTCACTTCGGCTCACGGTGGCAAGCAGCTACATGAATTGCTTGGAGTTGCAGAGGCGTGCAGCGAATGCGGTACTTATGCATGAGTTGAACAATGCCATGCTCTAGAGGATTCTAGCGGCATGTGGCGTGTACGAGCTTGCTGGGCAGGGCATCCGCGGTGCTGTCAGAGCTGGAGGTGTCTTTGCAAAGTGCCGGAGAGTTTGACGGTATGGACATGCTGAGCCCCGGCCTTTGTCCTTGCAATGCAGGATGGTCGGGTTATGTGGTAGTGGCGTGAGGTCAAAGAATCGCTTCGAGAGCTACACTGCTGCGCAGCCGTGCAGCCTGGCTTTCAGGCGGTGCCGTCTCAGCTGAGGCAGCTGCCATGGCCTGAAAGAGGGAAAGTGACAGGAACTTGCATAAGGACGGCGAAGAATTTTTCCTAAGATAACCTCCCGATCTGTGCCTGGCCGTTGCGTCACGCAGCGCTGGTTCTGCAAATGCAGTGCACGAGCATCGGCAGCAGAGCCAACTTCCGAACTCGGCCATTGTGCGCCCGAATCCATTCATCTGGAAAAACCTAACCTCCCCTTTGTATCTGACAACTTCGTCATCTAGTGCAAGGATAAAACCTTTGGTGTCATCACTGTACGCAAGTTTGTAGACAGCAGTGGAAACACAAACTAAGATCTGGCAACCCGGAAATAAGCTCCTCCACCTTGCACTCGATTATTAGCCATGGCAGCAACAGGGCATGAACTGATGCGACGCCAGGCCCGCAACTGCCGGAGAACGCCGTAATCGCCAAGAGATAGACATTCTGCATGGTTATGCAGCTTGTTTTGGAAGGAAAGCCTTATCGAGCCAGTTCCAAACCCTTTTTCCAATCCGGCCCCTTTCACGCATTATGAGCCGCTTGGCTTGACACTACTCGATCCAGCGGTTGCCTGGATGGACTGATACTACGCTGGACTTGCTGGCTCAGGATTCTGAAAGCCTGCTTGGTAGGCCGGCTAGCCAAAGTGAAAAAAATAGCAAGTAGCAGGTCCTGTGCCTTCTTGAACAGGCGTCCTGCTCCTCCCCGCGCGGATCGGGACGATCTTTGCCGTCGGTGTGACAGAAGTGCCCTGCAGTGGACGAGTTGATGACGACCAGTGGGCCAGAAAAGCGTCGCATCGGCCCTTTGTATCCCTTTGTCAGGTGTTGCTGGTTCGGCTTGCTACGCTTGGTAAGGCACGTGCCAGAGTTCGGTATAGGATGTGTTCAGGAAAGGAAAGGAATGCCCTGGCTGTCTGCAGGAGTTGAAGGAAGAACGTGGCTGCTGGCAGCACACTGTCGCTCAACAGCAGCTTCAGAGCAGTAGCACCCGGTTTTTGCAAAGAGCATTGCGATTGCTTCCTCGATAGTCTCCTTTCATTTTGTTTGCGTTCAGGAACAATTCGAATGGTGGCGGCTTCGGCTGCTTGTGACATGGTTGCATGTCGATACCAATCTGCGTCTCATGCCAGGCTGAGCCTTTAAAATTCCACCGATGCCGAATGATTGCTTGATTTGAGGCCCCTCTGAAATATTTGAATCGCTTGGCACTGGTCGCCTTTGGCTTCTGGCCGGGCTGCATCAAGGTCAAGGATTTGCGCAAGGCTTGGAAGCAGTCCCTCTTTCTTGAGTTTTTGGGCAGCATGCTAGCCTTTTCGTTTCGAATGAGAAATGTCAGCCTACGATGGTGGTAAAGTTTCTTGCAGGGTCCGTCTAGCCCCGCAAAAATTCTGGCGGTGGCGCGCGAGCCTCATCTTCAAGGCCAAAGATGTGTCGGAGCTAGTACCTATTCTGACCAAGCAAACTTCCAGCCGCTTGTAGACTTGCGGCTCAAGCCGCGCAAGTGCGACCCTGCCAATAATCATGGTTCTTGTAAAATCAAAAACAAAACAGCTTAGCATTACAAGGGTATTATGCCGGGTGCCGGCGTCGGAGAGGGTTGGCCAAAAGGATGCAAGCATTTCCCACAGTGTTCTATCCATGTTGATTTAGCGCTGGCATGCATGTCCGGTCCTTGGGTAGCGGCCTCAGCTTTCCGAACGGATGCGCGCCTCGTGCCGCAATTGGGCACTAAGGATTGGCCTCCAACTTCAGTTTGGAGGGCGCCCAGGGCGCCTGCGTGGTATCCGGCCCAGGCTGAGCGATGGCATTGGAACAATGCTGTTCGCCCCCGGCCATATCCTGTCAGCCGGCCCTTCCCTCAGCTGCAACCTCGACCGCAGCGACCCGTCCTCGCGCTGCCAGTGCCACCTCCACCTGCGCCCCCGAGCGTTGCTCCAGCCAGACCCCCGCAAATGTCATTGGCTCTTCGGCTGGACCAGGTCTGGTGCCCAGCCTGTTGTGCTTTACCAGAGCTTTGTTTACCGTAGCAGCCAGGCGTCGTCGTCGTTGTCGTCGTTGTCTGTGGTGGTGGTGGTGGTGGTGGTGGTGGTGGTGGTGGTGGTGGTGGTTGGGGTTGCGTTGCGGTTGCGGTTCTTGTTGTGGGAGGGGGCATTTGATTTTTTTGCTGGGGGGTCCTTTCGAAGGCAATGAAGGAAGGAATGCCGGGAGAAAGAAAGAAAGGAAGGAAGGAAGAAAGGAAGCAGGGAAGGAAGGAAGGAAGGAAGGAAGGAAGGAATGAAGGAGAAACAAAGGAAGCAAGAAATAAATCAAGAACGATAAGAAGGAACGAACGGATAATTTCGGAAGGAAGGAAGGAATGCCAGGAGAAAGGAAGGAGGGAAGGAAGGAAGAGAGGAAGGAGGGAAGGAAGGAAGGAGCAAAAAAAGGAAGCAAGAAAGGAAGGAAGGAAGATAAAAAGGAACGAATGGAGCACCCTGGAAGGGAGGAAGGAAGGAATGCCAAGGAAGAGAGGAATAACGGAAGGAAGGAAGGAAGGAGAGACACAGGAAGCAAGAAAGGAAGGAAGGAAGATAAGAAGGAAGGAACGGAGAACCCCTACACCCTCAATCCTAATCCAAAGTATATGAATCATACTACTGCTATTAATAATCATAGCCGTAAGACCAACATACAGTAACTACATCAAGAGACGACACCTCAGCAACCACAACAATGACGATATTGTGAGCAGCCGCAGTAGCAACACTATCACCAGCAGCAACAAGTATAAGCATTAGAAGTACAACTACAAAGTACATATTTCGATATACATCTGTATAGCGAAGAAAATCAAAAGCTTAATTTGGAAAGGTTGCGAATTTGCGATGCGAACGGGGGGGGGGTTTAAGGGGGCTTGAGGGGGGGGCTTAAGGGCTTTTCTACATGGGTTCGAACCTGGGTTCCAAACGTAAGGCGAAGTAAAACACAAGCTCATTTTGGAAAGGTTTGCACATGGGGTTTTAGACGGCAAAATCCTCGCTCTTATGCTTCGCGCGTATTAGGGGGGTAAAGCGAAGAAAAAGGACCGTTTATTTTGGAAAGGTTTGCAGTAGGCGAAAGCCAGACGAGTCGGGGGGTAAAGCAAAGAAAAACAAAAGGTTTTCAAATGGAGGGGGGTGTGCCCCCCCCAATCCCACCCCTCCGTTTTTTTGGACTGCAAACTCCTCGCGCTTATGCCGTGAAACTGAATAAGAACGTCCTTTCCATCACACATAACTGTCAACGCCTCCGCTGCCGCTGTTTTAAACTGCAAAACTCACCGCTCTTATGCCGCGAAGAAATGAACAGAAACGTCCTTTCCATCACACATAAAGGCGAAAGCCACGCGAAAACGCTATAGCGGGGTTAAAAGTGAAAAACAAGGATAATCATGAATGAAACGTCTGACGTTAAAGCGAAGAAAAACAGAAGCTGATTTCGGAAAGGTTTGCAAAGGTTGCAAACGGGGGGTGCTGCGCCCCCCTCCAGCCCACCCGCTTTTTTAGACTGCAAAAATCTTTTCCCTCACACATAACTCCCCAACGCCCGCGCTGTTTTAAACTGCAAACTCACCGCTCTTATGCCGCGAAGAAATGAATAAAACCGTCCTTTCTATCACACATAAAGGCGAAAGCCACACGAAAACGCTTTAGGGGTGTTAAACGTGAAAAATAGACATAATCATACATGAAACTTCTTGTGAAGGCGAAAGCCGAATTACGGGGTAACAAAAGTTCATTTTGAAAAGGTTTGCAAATGACGAATGAAACGCCTTATTCGACATGCCGTGAACAAATAAATCAAAACGTCCTTTCCATCACACATAACCCCCTAACCCCCCCGCTGTTTTAGACTGCAAACGCCCAGCTCTTATGCCGCGAAGAAATGAATAGGAAGGAAGGAGAAACAAAGGAAGCAAGAAAAGAAGGAAGGAAGATGAGAAGGAAGGAGCGGAGAGCCCCTACACCCTCTTCCCTAATCCAAGTCATACGAAGCATACTACTACTAATCTCGGTCATTTTGGTCATTTTGGAATTCAACGAATGCATTTCCCAGTCGTCGTCGCTCTCATAGAGCCCCGCGGAGCTGGCATAGCCGTGCTAGGTGGGTGACAAAAAACAATCTTAATCGTAAGACCAAAATACAGTAACTATATCAAGAGACGACACCTCAGCAACCACAACAATGACGATATGGTGAGCAGCCGCAGTAGCAACAGTATCACCAGCAGCAACAAGTATAAGCATTAGAAGTACAACTACACAATACATATGTCGACATACATCTACACATATAATATATATATATATATATATATATATATATATGTGTGTGTGTGTGTGTGTGTGTGTCTATATATATATAGATACATGTATATGCAAAGCATGTATAGATCCTACATGAAGTGTGTATACTGAATGCGTAGTATTTTTATAATAGTGTGTATAGTATGTATACGTCGTTTTAGCCTGGTTGGTAAAGTTACTAGTATTACATTCTTATCATTAAGATTGCTACTATCATGCTTCTTCCTTCCATGATTCTTATGATTGCCAAACAACAACAACCACTACGACCATAACTCAAAAAACAACAACAACCACAATCACAACAACAACAGCAACAGCAACAACCACAACAACCACACCAAGCAGAACAACAACACCAGCAGCAACAACAACAGCAACAACAACACAACCACGACAATGACGATATCAATATCAACAACATCTACAACTACCATAGAACGACAACTACAACCACGACCCACAGCAACAACAACAACAACTTCAACAGCAACAACAATAACAGCAGAAGCAGCAGCAGCAGCAGCAACTGCAGCAACAACGTCAATACCAACACCAACACCAACAACAACAACAACAATAACAACAACACGAACACCACCACTCAGAAACAACACCAACACAACCACAAACACAACCACAACCACAACCACAACCAATGGTGCTAAGCTGGGTAATA